CGAGAGAGATAGCGATCGTAATTTATATCGAGCCGAGCCGCTCGACGTTTCCAATCGAAACGAACGAGTCGAACGGTCCGGGGATATGTTCGTGCTAATAAATGATGAAAACTGCTTTCCACTACTTCCTCATAAATATAGTAAACAACTGGCGCGAAATTTACAAGTTCTAACGTTTCTTTATGTCGGGCAGCAACGCGATATCCGTGTATATTACTCGCGATACAGTATTGTCGCCTTGTTGCCTCTCACATTTCGTTCCGTTGGGCCCTCGCGGAGATGCAACATTTCGTTACGCACTATTTGATTTTATGACACGCGAATATCGTTACGCGATATCGTGGAAGCAACCGCGGCGGTAATAAGATGTAATAGTTTACGATCTCACTTTCTTTTAACCCTCCGAGCACGGTCCCTGGGTCACGCGTTCGCGAGAGCGACACGCGCGCAGTGACGGAGCTGTCGTGTAAATCGCATAGCGACCGATGTTTGTTTACATGCAAACGACCGAGCCAAGCCACCGCAGAAGTATTGACTAATAAATATAATTTGTTTTATAATTCACGAGATTTTTATTCTAGTTAGTGTAATAAGAACCACGAAAATCCAAATGTAATGTAAAACCAGCTAATCATTACATTGTATACATGGTGACGGTGGCTGGAGCTCGAGCTCACTATTCAATATTCTTATATGTAAAGTTAATTATATTCTCGTACATTATAACTTAGAAAATTAGAATTCACTAAAATACAAAATAAGTTAAATATTTTTTATATTTATTTGAATTTCGCGGGAATGACCCTACTTTAGCAACGTTGCCAAGTCCTCAACATAGTTACAATAACCATCCAACTACCGACACATCCTGGACTTTATTGTCAAAGATCTTCCTGGAGTGTTCGACATGGTACATGATTTGATTCATTATCAGAAAGCTCAGTATTTATAGTTTCAGTACCTAGCTTTTGGTTAACAGTTCCAGTTTCTGTAAAAAGAAATGATTATACTTCTAGAGCTGTGTTAAAAACTGAATTTTTGACAGGCTTTTTCTTATTTATTTCATCGGCGACCTAGTCAAAAGAAATATATGAAAAAAAAAAACAATCTGTATGAATTTTATTTAATTATCTAATCTTTCGAATTTGGCACGAACCACCTTAGGACCACCGACTTAGACGTTCGTCAGATGTTTCACGTCCAAAATAACGGAATAGAATGAGGGACAGACAGAGGTCGTAGGTCGCAGCTCGTTTGAACGCAGAGACCCGCGCGTCCGACGCTCATAGGAAATCCCGCCTATAGACCATCGTATCGCGTCGCGGCTCAGAAAGCGTGTTTCGATAATATCGTGAAGATCACGTGAATACATAATCGCCTTGTGTAACGGTGCGAGTGTAGAAATTAACACATAGGTTCATTAAAATAAGTCAGAAGGCGTGCGACGAACCTCCGATGCCAGGGTGAAAACTTCATAAGCGTTTCCTTTTCCCAACGGAGACAGAATGAATTACGGGCCTATAATTTATCCCGCATTATTGCGGGGCCTGCCCCATGGAGCCGGCCGCGCACGGTAAACATATGGTAATCAGGCGATTTGACTCATCAAGGCTCAGCTTTGTAAATGGCACGGATGTCCTCGGTAATTTATGTGATGCAGAACCGTGTAAGTGCGACCGGTGATCAAGCGAGCGCTCACCTCGACGTGCTATCATTAAATTCAATGCGAACGCATTACGTATCGCCACTTATGCTCGCGGCTGCGGAATTCGTCTGGTGGAAGGAAAATAAATGGCATGAAACAGGGAAGAGAGACAAGAGAGCGACAAGAGTGAAACCGATAAAATGTGCCTTTCACGTGTTGGACAATCACCTTGCCAAGCGCCGGCGAAGGATTGCGAGCAACGAAACGCTCGATACGGTTTGATTGATTGCCAGTTATAAATATTCGGCGTCGCGTATCTGCAGTGAAAAAGAAAATAAAAAAAAAGAAGGAATGATTGTCTGCAGGCAGCGCGCATTTCACGAAACTTTCTCCAATAAATTTCCTCTTTAAATTCGCACGTACACAGGCTAACGCGTGAGGTGAATTCTTGACGACCGTTTGGAAATATCCGAAACTGTACACCATCCTATTTTTACCTTTTCTTATCTTTACCACTTCGGGATGTAAGAAAATTGAATGACGATGGGTATGTCAAGTAAAATGAAAATATGTATTATATTGAATAGTAGACCGTGAATTTTGACGGTTCAACTCAAACTTTCCAAATTTTTCAATAATGTACCACTAGTGTAAAATTGCATTCCTTTAAACCAATCGCAAACTAAATGGTTAACAAATACTTTTTCAGAATCAATAATTTCAATAATTTCACAAATCTCATTTGAATTGGTTTGTTAGTTCAACAGTTATCGTTTATAGAAAAAAGGTTGACATTATATTTCAAATAGCTGTAAAATAGTACTTAACTATTGTTGGTCCAATGAATGACGATATCATTTCAAATTCACTAGCTGACAATTCGACAGAAGTTTCTGAAGCCAATTTAATCCGCAATCCGTAAATGTGCTAAAAATTCCATGACACTATACTTTTGGCGATTTTGAAACAATTTTCTCTGTCACCAACGTCGTTTATTCTATTTCTTTTGAGTTCGCAGATGGATAACCATAAAACCAGCACAAGGTAACTCCTGTTCTTGCGTACTCATAATTTATGACTTTAAATTAATCTTATCGTACCTCAAGAGGGTGACCTTGAACACATATGTTAAAGTCAAGTTCATTGTAGCCCTTCAATAGTCAAAATAACTGCTATATTTTTCAGATTTTTTTGTTTAGAACTTTTTCATAAAAATCGAGCGGCGGCAAAAACCTTCTGAAAGTCACTGAGGAGGGTGACCTTGACAACATACGTAAAGATCAAGGTTATCGGAGCTACCTCATCTATTTTGAATGTTTACCGAAATTATTACTTACATAATTATTTTAGTAGATTGAAGTAATATATCCTAATATAATACATATACATATAATGTAATAAAATGAAGTCCCCTATATTTATCACTTTTTTCATACATGTATTTATTCATTACCAAAATATTGTGTAAAAATATGTACAAAACTTAATACTATACAATGCATATATACATATTAACATAAACAATAAATATATACATGTGTACAAATTTACGTCGTACAATTACGTCGTGTAAAATTAGTTGTCTTGTTCACTGTCTTTTTCATCAGTCTCGTCTGGTAATAATATTCCAGCCAGATCTTTTGGTACAGGTTCTTTACTGTACATGCTTGCATTGAATAATTGTAACATTTCACCTGTGATTTCATAATTAGTGTAATTCTTATTTTTTTAATCTAATCTGATTTTTGTTAATATGGTTATCATAGCAGGTTTCACTCTGTTTCTACTCTTCATTTTGATTTCACTAATGAACGAGAAAAACTTTTCCACGTCAGCATTGGAGTATGGTAACGATAAGCATAATTAGCAATATTTTGAAAAATGTGGTTTCCATTAAAATCAGTGATAATACTAAATGCATCTAAAAATTGTAGAATGTCCAATTCTAAGAGTTTCTGTTTCTCTTTGCATGTAAAGTAAAACAATAACAAATACCATTCATTTGCCACATATGTAGCCAGAAATTTAGATTCGAATTTATTTATTATGTGATTTAAATAGTTTCTGTGTTTGGTTGAGTTCAAAATGATAGCTGGATCTTATAATTCTAAGGCACATAAGAACTCTTCATTAAATGGTAATCTTTTTATGGCATATTTATAAGAAGATTGATAAAACTTTCTAATATTGGCTTAAAATTCAATGATTTTATCATCATTGCAAGATGTATTCATATTTCTTATTTGATTGATTGTTATCACTGTTTCCCCACCAATGAAAACACTTTCTAAAGAAAGAAGGTTGTTTTCATCATAAATGTCAATGTCCTGTACATTTGTTGTTTCCAAATAATTCGATTTTATAAAATTGCTATCCAGAAATCTGACAAATCTACCACACTCTGGTAAAAGGCAATTAATTAAAATTGTGGATGTTTGGAAAATAGTACTGAATTGTGTGAATATACGTAGTACATAATTTAAGAATTGTAAATACACATTTGTATATGGACAGTTGAAAGTGTTGAACATTCTGTTTGCCATGGCAGACTTTTGTTCTATGCCAACCTCTGCAAATATGCTGAACAAAACTGTCCATTGATTTAGAATCAGGTTGCAGATGGCTGAATATTTTTTTTTCCATACAGCTTTCATCAACTTTTGGGTATTTTTTAAAACACATCGCTTTTTCGGACTTCTAGAAAAGTATGTGTATATCAAATGTAGCAAATCTTTATCAGGACTTCGCAGACATTCCCATACACGACATGCAATTAAATGCATGGGAAGACAGCAACTTCCTCATTATCCATCAATAAATGAAGAACTTATGAGTTCTATCTTCTCAGCATCACATTTGCATTATCCATGCCAATGCTAACTACATTCTTCCTAAATAAATTATGCTTTTGTAATGAATGTACAAAACATTTGTACAAGTTTTCTGAAGTACTATCCCTAATATGTATGTAGTCTAGTTAACACATCTGTATCTTTCCATTATGTACATATCAAGCTAAATACACAAATTTTTGGTTTCTGAAATATCTGTGCTTTCATCGATCAAAACAGAAAATAGTTTGTTCTGTAATAATTTCGAAGTTTCAAAAACGATATATTTCGTTACAACATTTTTAATTATAGCACCGATTTTCGTTCGTTTAAAACATATTTGTACTATTGTTGAATCAGGGGTAATAGTTGACAATTCGGACGGTACCTCCGATTTTCTTCATACTTTAATATTTTAAAAGGGGCTATCTGAGAAAGTAAAATGTCATTTTAAACATTGAAATTAAAAAAAAGGTAAACAGTAAACAATAAAAAAGATTAATTTTTTTATTTATTAATAAAATACTCAAATAACAAAAGAATTGCTTTACAATTAAAAAAAAGTGAAACTTATATTGATAGCCAGTTAGGTTTAGGTTATGTTCGGGTTAGGGTTCGCTTGGTTTTGGGTTACGAATTTAACTTAAAACTAAAGGTACTTATAGTTGTTTGTGACATTTTTTAAAATGATATTTTGCCTTTTTAATTAGCCCCTTTCAACATACTAAAGTATGAAGAAAATCGGAGGTACGGACCGAATTGTAAACTATTACCAAATCAAGCAATCCCAATTGAATAATTTCAACATGTCATTTCTTATACAAAATCGCAATTCACCTTTCTTCGTATTGTTTTCGAAACTTTTCATCTACTATTCTGTTTTGTATGTTTATTCTATGAATCACTGTTTTCATATGCTTCAGCAGGTCACTTTTCCCAGCTGTGAAAATACTGTTGCAAACTGTACACTTAGCTCTAAATGGATTCTCACATTTCTGCAGCCATGATGTAAAATTAGGGTCCTGCAGCCAAGCATCACGGAATTTTTGCCTTTTAGTAATTTTCTTTGGAGGAGAAGGAGAAAGCATACTGCTACCATTATCTATTAAAAAAATATTCATTATTAGTTGATTGAAAATGTTATAATAATGCATGTTCGAAAAGTTTATGACTTGATAATTAAGAAACACTTATGTATTTAGAAAATCATTGCTTTTGAAACTTAAAGTGATTCGAAGTAATACTTCAAGAGTATTAAAGATATCTCTTACTTGAGTCATTCTCTATGTCAAAGCTTTTATTAGCTGAACTAGGACCAGGAACAGCCATGCCGCTATCACAGTCTACATATAAAATATCCATTATTAATTAATTACTAATATTATAACAATGCATTCTAAATAAATTCAAAAGAAGAAGTAATTATGGAAATGACGTATAATGTAGTCTACATGAAATTAGGGTGGGTTTAAGTCATCGTTCTGCTGGTTTCGAATTCCTTTAAAAAATACAGGGGTGATTAATTTGGCGTGAAATGACTCCATAATAAAAGAAATACTTACATTTTGCAAAAAATGACCATTTTTTAAATTATATTGATGCAAAAGTGTTAAATATTTATCTTACCTGATTTCTCATTCATTTTGGAACATTGAAATTAAATTATAAAAGAATTTGTATAACTTCACTTTACAATCCATAAACATCCACAAGCGTCTATGCACAAAGGTTGCCAGAAGTAGGGCGAACATGGCCGCTTGAAGTCAACGTGACGTCAGGGAGTAGTAGAGGGGGAACACATTATAGCAATCCTCGCATAGTTGCACAAGACGTACTAGCACGTACTACAACGTACTAGTACACATAGCTCTATATAACGCATGTGACATCACATAATCTTTATTTTGAAACCTTCTGGCTATGTACTTACTATGTACAGGACTTTGAAATTCAAAAGCGTGTCGTCAATTGTCGTTAATGAGACGCGTTACGAACTACACCATCGTTGTTGCTACATAGGCGATCGTTTATTGCAACCTTCGGGGCTGTAGAGGGCCAGAATTACAGGAATACTGAATAAGGAAGCTCCAATCATCCGCGCGCTCTCCCCTCCATTCGGCCGTTCAGTTGTGCGACGCACCTATATATAGGGTGGGCTGGATATACGCAGTTTACGATCATCTTCATTATCTTCGTTATTTTTGAAGATATCAGAAAAGTTTATTCACAGAAGTTGTTTAGTATGGAAAGGGCTATTAATTTGCAGTAACAATCTTTTCGTTGGTTGAGGATATCCTAAGTTTTCAAGACTAATTATGTTTCCTTTTTAACGATACTGAAATATTGTGGAATAAAAATATTTTTTTACGTATGTGGATTCTTCTAAACATTCTACGTAATAAAATATTAAGGTAATATGTGAAAAAAATTAATAATTCGTGAGATATTTTATATACAAAATGTAACAACCTGTTCATTTTTTCTTGACCTATAACAAAATTATTTCTGCTATGTTATAGTCCCTCTGATACCAGATAAGTTTTGTTAATAAAATTTGTTTATACCTGTAGACATAATGAAGATAATTAATGTGATCAAAGTTACTGGACCATTGTTTATAATGGATGTATAATTGAACAGTAGTTTCATTTATTCTTCTTTATTGAAAACAATGTAATTAATATTATGAATATTTGAATTTGTTTAATTGTGACATACAAAATGATTAACAACTACATTTGCTTATTAATTATCTTATTTATGTATAAAAGTGTAGAATACAAGGGCCTGCAATAAACGATCGCCTATGGCCCATCGTATAGCGTGTCCCCCTCCATTACTCCCACACGTCACATGGACTTCAATCGGACATCGAATATGTTAATCTGTTTCTGGTAATGCTGTAAGCACCACCATGATGAATATACTTAATACATACTTGCCGAAGCTGAAAGTACTAACCTAAAAGAACATATCTTTTAGATTATGTTAATCTATCTAACATCATCTAACATGTTTACAGTAAAAACTGTAACTTTAGTATCTAAATTTGTATATTGATTTAGTATTTACAAATTTCTTGCTGTTATCAAATTTGTATTAAATTTTAACTGAAAAAATAGTGTCTAGCATTATACTGTTCATATCTATTTAATTTCTGTCATAAAATGTATAATATAAAGTAAGTACATAAAAAGAATATAATTATTTAATAACATGTGACAATAATGAAATCAGAAATATTTTTTGCTCTAAATGTCTTTATTGTGTTTGTTATCCTTTGTACTCTATATTTAAAATTTTGCTATTACATGCAATTATATATGTCCCTAAAAATATGTGAATTATATGATTACAGAATATTAAAGAATTGAATATAGTTTAATGTCCTAGAACGTAATGGAAGAAAAATTGAGTAAAAAAAGTTATCGTAAACAGAAACGAGCCTATCATAGGCTCCTCAGAGACATGAATATTAAATGCTGTGATAATCCAACAAAGGTTACTATTGATTTTAAAACGAATAAAATACTTCATAATATTTTTTATTAATACTAAGAAATATATTGAAACATTCTATTTTATACTTTCTTTTAGTACATAATGATCTGTAATGCTGGTTTAGTAACTGGATTTCAACGAGAAACTTTACAAAATATTATTGACCCAATTATATCAGAATATGATGTAATAATGCCACCAAATAAATCGTACTGCTTCATTAAATTTTATTCTATAGAAGATGCTGAATATGCATACAACAGAATTCATGGTCAGATAAGAATTAATGAATTAGGTGCACTGTTATATGCAACATTTACAGAGTCAGGTATATCATTAAAAATCTTGAATTTAACTAAAACAAATGTTTCCTAATATTTCTAAAAACAATAAGAAAAGCATATTCTATAAACTGTTGTAGTTCCTGATCTAGATGATGAATTATCTTGTGGTTTTCCCTACGGACTTCGATTAGTAGAAAATATTATAACTGAAGAACAAGAAAAATATTTATTAAATTCGATTAATTGGATTAATGAAGGTACTAAGAATATTTTAATAATATTTGAGAAACATATATTATTGAAACACGATTAATAATGTTATATAAATTATGTTCAACTTTTCATGTTCCAGAGTCAGATTCATCTGAGTTAAAACATAGAAAAGTCAAACATTTCGGATATGAGTTTCAGTACAATTCAAACAGAGTAGACCCTGATAAACCAATTACACCTATTCCTGAAGAATATCAGTTTTTACAAACATTATTTAAAAAATATCACAATGTGCCATCCGAATATGATCAGTTAACAATAAATCACTATTCACCTGGTCAAGGTACACTACATGAAATTTGCTTTTTAATGTACTTCCGTTTATAAAATCGTTATAATACTTTATAATTTAAGGAATCCCTCCACATATTGATACACATAGTGTGTTTGAAGATAGTATATTGTCTTTATCATTGGGTTCTGCATGTATCATGGATTTTAAACGGGAAGATAGAAAAGCTGCTGTTCTTTTACCTCCTCGTTCGTTGCTGATTATAACAGCGGAAGCTCGATATGCATGGTCACATGGAATTTGCCCTAGACATAATGATGTAGTAAAAAGTACAAATGGAATTACAACACAACCACGAGGAACAAGAGTGTCATTTACATTTCGAAAAGTGCGAAGGGGCGATTGCTGTTGCATTTTTCCAGAATATTGCGACACAAAAAAAACCTGTGTTAATACTGTCATCGATGATAAAACAGCAATGGGAATTGAAAATTCTTATGTACACGAAGTATATATTTTAACCCCTTTCGCGATTTTTCTAACTTTAGAAAAAATAACTAAATAAATACATTTATAGGTTTATGAAAATATTTCGAGTCACTTTGATGAAACTAGACACAAGCAGTGGCCAAATGTTTCAAAATTTCTTCAATCCTTGAATCCAGGTGATATTTTATTAGATGTAGGTTGTGGGAATGGTAAATATCTCTATGAAGAAAAACTCATATTTAAGGTATGTTTCCTCTATGTTTCTATTTAATAATTTTAATATACATCCTACTATAATTAGGTTGCTTTAAAAGACTGGGAACATTTATTATGGAACTCTATTTTTGTATAACTTTATACTGTGAAAATAAATAACAATATCATAATAAGTAAACTGAATATTTATACAATTGTACGTTTCTATGAACTAATTTCTGAGTGAAAATTTCTGTAGAAACTTATAGGTAAAAAAGAAAAAATTTAGTTCAATAACACTAAAATGTTATATTTTGGTATGATACTAATTAAAATGATCAAATGAGTAATAGAAGCAGATAATTTTAATAAATTCTACTTACAAAAATGTAACATATGTGTATATCATATAAGAAGATATAGTAAAAGAAATTTAATACTTTAGGTTGGCTGTGATCGAAGTCATAATTTAATAAAAATATGTCATAGTAAAAAATCTGAAGTCTTCTTATCTGATTGTCTATACTTGCCATACAAAGATAATAGTATAGATGCAGCAATAAGTATAGCAGTAATACATCACCTTTCGACTCATGAAAGAAGAAAGCAAGCAATTTCAGAATTGGCACGACTTCTTAGGCCTAATGGAAAATGTTTAATTTATGTATGGGCGAAAGAGCAAGAAAAGAATTCCACTAAAACTGCATATTTAAAATATAATATGAGCAAAAACGATCACCAAACATCGTGTATACAAAAACTGACAGAATACGGTGTAACCTTACCAGTGCACGAAAATCGTACGAAATTCATGTCTACTGATATGCTCGTTCCTTGGAAAAGAAAGGGAGGAGGAGACTTCCTCAGATATTATCATGTATTCAAAGAGGGCGAATTATCACAGTTGTGTTCAGAAGTACCTGTGTTTACAATAAAAGAAATGTATTATGATCAAGGAAATTGGTGTGTAATTTTGCAAAAAAAAAAAATAAAATAATTTGACTCAAATAAAAAAATTCTTTGACACGAACCATATCTTTTCTAAGAGATTTATACAAATTATAATTGTAAGCTTATTTTTAAAGAAAAGTAAGGATACAAGAATTATAAATATAAGATATTGCTTTAAATGATTTTACCTTTATTGGAAAAAGAACAAAATACATGGAATATGTGTACTATACAGGGTTTTAGATATAAATAGTCCCTGATATCTAGTTTTTTTTCATTATAAACATGAATAATGCGTAAGTAGACAAGACAAGTGCACTGTACAAAGCTCACTCTGCTTGACTTTTACTTGCTATTGTGCTTCAATTGTATAACATATTTAATAGCAATATAGATTATCATTATGATCATCATTAATAATAATATTATTATTATCATCGGCATCATAGTTTTCATTATTATTACTATTGATGTTAATATTAATTGTATTAGGTATCGTTTGTAAATATATTAGCACACCTTATTCACATAAAAATAGTATCCAATTATGAAATTAAATGAGAATATTTGATACCAAATGCTATTTCCAAGAACTGGAACCAAATTTTATACTGAGTGTAATTTCTTGTTTTTTTAATGTTAATGTCATCAGTGTACATAATATATACAACGATTGACAATACTAAACTATTAGTAAAATTGTTATATATTTTCAATTGGCGCGTGCTTGATTTAGGACAAAATATACTGTCCTACCTTGTTTCCTTCATTTATTCAAAAACTTACACGGGTCCAACTTCTTCGGGATCATAATTTTTTACTCTTTTGTTGTACGCAATTATTTCCTAATTAATAGAAATATTAGATGTTTATTTATTTAACTTCTTGTTTTTAAATTCAAGAACCACAAAGTTTTCTTACTCTTTCATATCGAGCTCTATCCTCTTCTGCTATTGCCATATATTTTGATTTAGTTTGAAGATCTGTACTCATCCACAATTTACCCAACTCTTTGGCAATATCACCAACTCCCATTTCTGGATGTAATTCTCTCATTTTTCCACGTAATTCTTGGCAAAAATAGAAAAATGCAGACCTGAAATAATACTTATAAACAAAAAAATCACACTCAATAATCAACATTATAAACACATACAATGCTCTTTTAGGTGCATCTTTATCTCTATATCTTTTTGTTCCTCTACGTGTTGGTTTCTCTGTTTCATCATGACTGACATAATGTCTGTCATAGTAATGCATTTTCTTATTGCAATGTGCCCCATCTTCAAGATGTACAATCTAATAACATACACTTATTAATGTTAACATTCTTCTCATATAAATCATTTCTTACATTATTCAACATAAACTTACTTCATTCTTCACTGGTACTGCATTAATAATAAAATTTTTGCTTTGCATATTTGACCATTTTGTTTGATTATTTGAAACACTGGATACATTTCCAGGTTTCATTACAGGTTCACCGCATTCTATGAGTTAAACAGTTTGTCATACGTAAGTTCGTCAGTACATTAATATACTCCCCTAGTTGATTACATTGTATGTTTATAATATATAATTCTTAGTTAAACATACAACTTTGTAGCATTTACATTTGAAAACAGAATAAAATTATACCTGGAGTCATATTCGTTTGACCAACAATCATTGTATCTCTCATTCCAGAATTCAATGAATTATCACCCGTTTTCGTGAGATAAACATTTTTCCTGTCAGATGAATCCATGATTATAAAAAATGTTCTTCTACAATCCTTTGCCCAAGAGATTAATAATCTTTGTAAAATTACAGTGATCTACATAAAATACGTTTATTAGTAACCATTTTTAATACTTAAAGAGAATATATTATTTTACTTTGATAAATCATTATGTACATAGAAACAAAATTCAAAGAAGCCAACATTTAAATAGTTCAAATTAGAATATTATAAATGTAAGTACATACATACTTCCTTATCGTTTAATTCTTTGAAAAAAAAAATAAAAACATTTGTTTTCAATGTTAATTTCACACTTTTTATGCATTATTGTTAAACTTATATGTAACTGGTTAAAAACTATTAAATATTAAATTATAGTTACCAGAAATATAGTTTATAGAAAGCATATAATAATCCGTTCTGACAACCTTAATAAAATTGCATTATATTGGAAAATTTTCCACATTCTGTAAAATAAACGCGACAAAATTCCAAATTATTTAACGTAAGTGTAACAATTAATTTATGGAATTAAGTGTAGGTAAAAGCATGTAACATATTTTTCTGTGTTTCTTAATAAATTGATTTTTAACATCATAGAATTTTCAACAACAAAAAAGTACATTTAATTAATAATACTTGAAGTTATTTATGTGAAATTTCTGCAGTTTATCTAATTATAATTTTGAACATTTTGACATTAAATACGTGAATTTCGTTTGTGTATACGAATTGCAATCAGAGTGCGTATCTCATATAATAAATCCACTTTACATATACATTTAATAATAATACTTTCACGAAATCTAAAAAAAAAAATATACTCGAAAGAACGGATTCCTTCGTTACGATACAAAATGAAAAAAACTTGCGTACATACTTATATCACACACCACTTACTGAAAGGAAAAAAGTAAAATATAATAATCAAAAAACAATATTTGCAATAATAAAACGAAAAGAACTGTTGAAACTGTCATATATAAAATAGATACGGGAGTAACGAAGGCAAGAGACGAATGTAACAGATATTTACCTACAGATGACGTACAAAGGCAATCGCTGCTACAACAACACAATATAAAAGCTGTCTCCCGATGGTTGACTCAAAAGAGTTAACGAGAGGTAAATAAAAATAGATTTAATCCGACACGGAAACGGTAATTCGACTTACCAACAATAATTGAAAGCCAGTGTTGCAAAGAAGTACGTGAAAAACGACTACAAGTAACGCAGAACGTAACTTATTAAGCATCCATTCCACAGATCGGTCCTACCTATACGCATCTATCCGTATATACGTATCACGCGTACTGTGATCAGCATTATACACGGACCACGTACAATACTTAAAAGCAACCTTTTCCGACACACAAACTCAAATTTATTGAAATACGGAATATTCACTGCTAAAATAACTTGTCAGTAATTAAACCATAGAACGCTGGTTATTGACGACAGAACTCGATGTTAAAAAACAGATCGTATAAACCAAGCTGATTGAAGCAGATATGACCGGGCATAGCTTGTGTGGTGTGCATGCATGCATAAATGTGCGCGCGCGCGCGGTCACACGCACACGTCCTCACATCACTTCTATATTATACTACCATAAAATTTCAGGTTTTATCTCATCATTAAATCTTGTTTCCTTGCAGTTTGAATTTCGTATTTGAAATTAATAAGTATTAGTGAGATTCCAGATAAAATATTTACTTAATGAAAGGAATGTTAAGGATAATTCATATGCCGAAATGTAATGATGTAAAAAGTGTCATTGACATAATTTCAGACTGCCTTTGTTATTAAAATAAAATGTATTCATCAAACGATATTAGGGGAATGGTATACTTTTTATGTACTTGTAATGATTAAGATATTATCAGTCAAATGTATAGATCTATACATTATTAGATTTTGAAATCTAAATAAGAAATTGTGTTATTACTTCCCAGTCAGCCAAACCTGCTCTAAACATATATTACTAGATTCTGCTGTATACCTGATGTGCAGATTTGTTGCAAATGTGCTAGAGGGTCTGGTACAGCAGTACTGACAGTAAACTAGCAACAGCAATATAACAGGCCTAGTGTCATAATGCGATGTCAGAAATTGAAGAGATCTGCTAATATTCTGACTGCAGCCTCACCTCACAAATACAGTAAAATTGTGCAACTTACTTTATTACAGATTAAATCGATTACACTTTATCTAAATGCAACTGCAATCGATATTTAAGTACTGAAATGATTATTTAATATTAAATCACAAAATTAAATGTATATGATAACAATTATTAATATAATATGCTAATGAAATATTAAATTTTCCGTATTACTGGCGTTTATATTTCTCCCATTTTATTGCTTATAATAAGAAATAAGTATATGTATATATTGCATTACTAAATAATACATATTTACATTTTATGCAATAATACATATATACTCGTAATGTTCAAAAACATGGCTGAGCTCACACTCTACTTCCACCGTGCTCATACCAAGCATATCTCTACCCCTGCTGTGTGCGCTGCCCTGCGCTGCCCCTTCGGATTTTTCCGCAAACAATCCACGTTTCAAATACAAACGTAGAATATGTCTATCAAAAGGAAGAAATCACGGACATCAGGTAAATTCACATATTCATTTTTTTCATTTAAAAATATTGTTAATGAGTAGAAATAAGCTCAACCACATTTTGTTATAAAATTAGTGTTCACGGCACACTATGTGTATACATGAACGATTAGACACAATGAAATGCAATGGAGTCTGAATTGAAGTAAGCATCGAATATATTGTTTATTAACATTACGCTACACTTATTTTTGTTATGTTTGCAGGCAAATAATATTCAAATATGTGTGAGAACCGATGACAAGGAAGGAAGAGTTGGTGACTAGGCAATGTGTCAAGAACCATAGATGACAGCATTTGGGAAGTCATTGTTTATTCGAACAGTCTCGTAATTTCTTCTAAACTATGGTTCCTACATTTGTATTATATATATACATATATTATTTTGTAAAAATTGTAAATATGGTTGAAATCGTATCGTAAATGTACATATTCAAGAAAAAATAAATATTCTGGAGGAATATAAAAAGTATTTAATTCCACCTGTCTAATTTAAATGGAAGCAATTTCAGAAACTGCTAGGTTATAACGTAAGATTTGCTCTGTTTCTACAGCGAATCTGACGTCACGTTCTACAGCAGAGTTACTGGTCTTATGCCGTGAATCTGACGACATATACATACAGAATGCAGCGACAGATGTATATGATTCCGAGGCACCAGATGCCGTGCATCTGACGTCAGTTTGCTCATAGGGTAAAGTCGGCTTCCGCAAGGGGAAAAAGCCATCTAGGGGTAAGCCTTCTATCACTTGATAAATTTATTTCAAATACTGAAATAAATGTTAAACCGAATAGTAATTTGGCATAAATGTCAGTAACTCTGAGACCAAGTAGTAGGGAGTCTTTCCCTTACATCACTTTTTCCCCTAGTGGAAGCCGAGTTTATTCGTCAGGGTAGGGTTGAATCGATACCACCAAGGTATCGATACTTTTACTCATTGCTAGAGTATATTGTATGAAGGTATCGATACTTACTCGGAATCGAAACAAAAGTATCGATACCTACTTATATCAAATTGTATTTTCCTAACCTTGATACCCAAAACAAAAGTTGTCTATACCTTGAGAGAGAATAAAATACAATACGCAAAGCATATGAACAAACATATATACATATATGTGTGTGTGTGTATATATATACAATATACATAATATATGATACACATAACAGATAAATATGTATGTATGTAGATATTGATGCAGTTTTTGACTTCATAAGTGAATTAAATTTGCTAAATTTAAGTAGTAAAATATTTGATTGGGGAGATAGCATACATATTGAACAAGGTACCTTGTATAAACATAACATCACTTTTATCGATCCATCCCTACGTGAGATAGAATTGTTTTTCGAAAAATATAAACGGACACATGTGAATGGGTATCCATACCGGTATTATGCTCAGGATAATTACATGAGATTTCATGATGAACTTACTATTTATCCTCATATAACATCGTGTAATTCATTAATATTATGTCGTAGAATGTTTTCAATACTTCAGAATAATACTTATAAATTTCTTATAATTTGAAAATGTATGAAATTGTAATGGAATTTCTCAGATCGATTCTCTCGCAAGCTCGCAAGTCATTAGAGATGGCGTGTAAAATCACTAACGGTGATTTATCACAGTGATCGCCGAATCACAATCACGGTCGTGATTTAACTTCATTCACGACCGTGATTGCGATTTTTTTATCTTGAGTGAATTTGCTCACTGCGATCGTAAGTCCTTGATCTTTAAACACAAAAACGTATTCAATATGATTTTACGATGAATTACATTACTATTCGTGTTTGTAAAAATTAGTAGAAAAAACAAGAAATTCTAAAAGAATGATTTATTAGATTCGAAGTGTGAAAATGTCTACATAGTACTTTGAATGTTTTAGAAAATTATTCGAGATAAAGATGTATGGAACTACGGAAAATTACTTTAGATTCCTTTTCCTTATTCTGTAAATTCTTTGATTGGAATATGAATGCTGCTGGAAGTATGAACATTTTCACAGGACAATGATATAAACGAAACTTTAAAACTTTTTAAGTGTTACAGTGATATTTCGTTGGCCTCTGTATTAATGCACTGCGCCGAACGCAGATAGCATGATGTTGTAGTCGCAAGGGAGCAATTGAATCGAATAGACGTATTGTACCGTAGCGCATCGTATTGTATTTCAAACATTTATATCATTATAATTTATATGTATATATGTATATTCCAATAAACATACGTCAGGTAATATAAGCTTCATTTCATCGAAGTGTCTTAAATATAACTGCATAAATATTGTACAATCCTATACTAATTATAGTTGTCTGGTTCAACAGGTTACTACAGAAACTAACTACTGCCTACGTCTTTTAAACTTGGGCTGTAGTAGTATCTGCAGAAACTGCCATGGTTGCTGGGGTTACTATATACTTTGCTCACGGAAACACGCATAAGTGTCAGTCAGATTTCGACAATTGTATGAGCAACATTAGACCAAGCTCGAGACTCGTACGAGCAACAATGATAAAGGATCACGTTTCAAAACTCTTGCGCATGCTCCGGGGGTTCTATGACCCCACGATCTCACCACACGGGGTCACTTTCGCCACCTCCGGGGGTTCTATGACCCCACGTTCTCATCACACGGGGTCACTTTCGCCACCTCCGGGGGTTCTATGACCCCACGTTCTCATCACACAGTGTCTCTGGCGCCATCTCCGGGGGTTCTATGACACCACGTTCTCACCACACGGGGTCTCTAGCACCATCTTCTGGGGTTCTATGACCCCAGGTGTTCACCACACGGGGTCTCTGGCGCCAGCACAGGGGTTCTATGGTCCCGCATTCTTTCCACTCGGGGTCTGGCGCCTCCTCCGGGGGTTCTATGACCCCACTTTTTCACACTCACGGGGTCTCTCACTACATTGAACGCACAGTTTCATCTATTTAAAAGTATGTGACAATTTCAGAAAGAACTGTTAGGTTTCTCGACCAATCAGAAACGATCACGAGAAATCACGAACACTGTGTAAAACACCGTAATTGGGAACGAACGTGATCGAATCACTCGTGTTTCACAAGTAGCAGTTCACGCCATCTCTACAAGTCATCGTGAGTCATCGATCTCGACTAATTATTGACGTTCACGTTCGTTCACGCACTCCTATCGATACTAAATGCATTTATGAAATAACATTTAACCACAATAATTCTACACATAAATAGTATATAAATGTAAATAAAGTATTAATTATTCCATACTATAAATGTTTATTCAAAAATTAAGAATATTAGACAGCATTATGTATTAGAAACAAGTTATATGTATATATATACTCACAATCAAGTGAAAGGTTATATTTATTTAAACATATACATATATATATGTATATATACTTTTTGGAATACCCACGTGTTTAACGTGTAAATGAATATATATATATAAAATCATGAAGGAATCATTATTAACAAATTGTGAAAGAAATTTCATAAATAAGGCAGTAGAGGAAGGAACGGTACGATCTTACTGTTAAAGTGTTTCATTTATAAGAACACAAATAAGTAATTGAATTTTTAAAAATATCTTTTAGCGATTAGATGGCAGAAATTTATTGGAAGCGCGGCCGGTTAAAATTTATTTTGGATCCAGTTGGGGTAGCTGTATGGTTTTACTCGGGCAAACTAGGTATATTTCAAGTTAATATTCTTTATAATTCAAAGAAATTTTCATATAAATGGAAAAAATACATTAATCTTCATATATTCATTATTCTTAAATTTTTATACTTCTTTATGTACAGATAAACATTAAATTTATAATATATAAATAAGCATGAAATATTTGTACATAATTGCGACAACCTCAATGTATAACCAGACATAAAGCAATTGTTCAAAGAAGTACAATTTAAAAATATGAAATAAATATTTTACATTTGAGGCTTTGTTAAAGATAAACTTGAACTTGAAAAATTATTTGATATGTATGTGTTTGTGGTGACAATACACAGTAATTGTAAATAATAAATATACGCATTAGCGTAACATTAGCAAAGTTTTTGTTTAATAGTATGTTTTAAAGTGATTTTTCTCAAAATCAAAGCCCTATTTTGCAAAAATTGATTCTAGACTTTCTGCTTACTTTTTCTCATCTGGTTGTATTACAAGTTTGTCTTCATTTTGTATATACAATCATAATTTGATGTTGTAAAACATTATTGTAGGGCAGTAGTACAAGTAACGTGTGACATTCAACAACCAAACACTTCTCGTCCCAATGAAGGAATGTTACACATTAATGTTGAACTTAATCCATTGGCAGCACAACATTTTGATGGTGGAAGACAATCTGAGTCTTCAATATTGATTAGTAGACAGCTTGAAAAATGTTTTAAAGATTCAAAGTGTATAGATCTGGAATCATTATGTATTGTGGCTGATAAAAAGGTTAATAATTATTCAAATTCTATAAGTACTATATACATTTTAAACTCATATTCAAGCAACATAGAATCAATAATGTATATTTAAGGGTGGTACAAAAGAATAATTGTCCTGAGAATCAGTGATATAGTGTATTAAATGATATCCTTGTCAGATATAAGCTACTAAATGTATTGTGTACTATTAAAAAATAATCTTCAATTAAGATAAGATCACACGAATCTAAACATAGGGGTTCAAAGAGAATTAATCCAGAATTATTCTTGAAATGTTGACAATCAATACAAAACACTCTACTATTTATCATGTTACAGAGTTTTCTGAATTTACTATGTTTGTTGCACCCACAATATCTTTCAAAATCGTACCTACAATACTTTTCTCAAAAATTGAACGATTTATATATGTTACATGTGTTTAGAAACCAAATTAAACATTCATTTGGTTTAAGTAATTAATATGATTCAGGTATGGAATTTAAGAGTTGACATAAATATTATTAATCATGATGGGAATTTAATTGACTGTGCTTCCATTGCAACATTAGCTGCTCTTTCACATTTTCATAGACCAGATGTAACTTCAACAGGTGAAAATATCATAATTCATTCTTTTGCTGAAAAAGATCCTTTACCTTTGACATTATATCATTATCCAGTTTGTGTATCCTTTATAACATTTGAAAGGTCAGTATTTTTACTTACTTAATTCTACTAAGCATAGTTTATTAAGTAGAACGTATATTTTAATGACATTTTGATTTTTAGTGGAAATACAATTATGGATCCCACATATCTAGAAGAACGAGTTGGTGTTGCTCAACTCACACTTGGCATGAATTCTTACAGAGAAGTTTGTAGTTTACATTTTAATTATTTGATGAAAACTATGACTGTGGAGGATGTGATATCAGCAGTTTCCAATTATGCAGCAAATTATGCTGCTAAATTAGTGAAACAGATTAAAGAAGCAGTAACTCATGACGTGGAAGCAAGGTTTATCTTTTAAATAGAATTCAGACACTGCTTTATAATCATTTTCAGTGGGTTAATGTTTAATACGTGTCCACAGGTATAATAAAAATGACCATAATACAAATCGTTTCAAAGAGTGCATAACAATGAGAAAATTGACTACAATGAACAGTGAATGTATTAGTATTAAACTGCACAAATGGGGCCAATTAGAAAAAGAAGAACCTGATGGTAAATTTCTTTCGTGCTTAAACGTTTTAACGTTTGAATAACCATTGATTAACGTTTCCTTTTTATTGAATAAAAATTAATTTGAATTTAATTGTGTATAATTTAAGCAGAAGCTAATTTGGAGGAGGATGAAGGTAACAGGTACAAAATTATAAAACCTGGAGAAGCTTCAGCTGAATTAATAGTAGGCAATGTAAGTATATATGTAATTAAAGTACAATTGAGACAATTCTAATTTTCTTTGTAAAATAATTTCTATAGGGTATGTCAGTTGGTGAAGGTGGACCTAATACATGGAATGTGTCAGAATCCTCAGAAGAAGAAACAGGTGACATTGAAATGACCACTGAAGTAAGAAAGGAAGAAAATAAAGTGTTAGATAATATAGGTATTATTTTATAAATTGCAGTTTCTATGCACCATTTTATTTCACATTTTTAACATGCAAAATATAAATAACTAATTATGACATCATTTCTGTTTTAGAAATAAGTGGAGATAGTGAAGAAGAAACCACTGAAATGTTGGATTCAAGAGATATAATGCAGTAAATGTAAATTAATAAAACCAACAAACTGAAATAGAGTTGAACACAAAATACTCAATCATTTACCTTGCTAAGTCAGTATATTTATTTACTTACTTACAAAATATCACTTAATAACTAAAGTGTAAATAAATAGTTGTTTAAAATTTACTGTTATACATAATATATTTTTTAGCATGTTTTATACATAGATCTTATAAAATACCTATGCCTATTAACAAGTAAAAATCATACATATTCATTTTATCTTACTGGTAAAATATTATTACAATAACAAAATTCATGAAATAAAGCCTAGGCTATGTGGTGTCATTACTTAAACCATTCTTTTGATCCAATTTGTTTGCATTTGTTTTTACTGTGTAAATGAAAAAGCTTAGTGCTTCCTTTTCAACTACAGGGATGGTCTTAAAATGCTTCATAAGTGTCTGAAAACAAAAATACATAATTAAATCATAGAATTATATGTTCTACATATCTTTACAGCTTCTTTTTCTTTCTGCAAATATTTACATTCTATACTTACATCAGCTAACTGAGCTTTATTTAATCCTGGACGTGTAGAAACTTTGTAGTGTCTCTTGTACCGCCTTAAGGTGCCGACTTGTAATTGGAAAAGATCAACTTCTGGAAGGTCATTATCTGTTTCTCCTGAATCTTCTTCTGAATCTTTGCGTCTTCGCTGTTGCTGTTGTTTAGATCTTGCACATTGGATCACTTGCTTATGATAATCACAAATGTATATATGACGTGCCTATTAACAAATCAGGTATGTAATGGCATAAGAATCTTACCTAATCATACATAATTGAACATTCAAATATTTCTTCTCAAATTTGCTTATATAAGAATAATTACAAAAAATTGAAAAACAATGAACACAAAATATGCATGCGTATATGTTTTATTTTATTGTATAAGCAGGGTATAGTGCTAAAAAAACATTCATGAATACACATTCATACAAAAAACATGTAAAAATGTTTCATAACGTCTATATGTATTACCAAAAGTCAATTAATAAGGACAGTTTAAATATTTATATAGCTTTTGTTAATTATTGATTGAAATTTTAAAAGATGTCTTTCCTACGAATATCAAAGTTCTATCATATTATACTTTGTATACAGGGTGATTCATTAGAAGCGGGCCATCTTAATATCTCATAAGTTGATGTCATAAACTGTTCTCACAATCCTTAAAAATATATTGCTTCTACTTGCTTTTATAGTTTGTCGAATACATGTATTATGAAGGAGTTTGCATTTCATGCATTATGTATTACTCAACGGAAAAATAGAGATACATGAATTTAATTGTAATAAGAGTGAGGAATATTTTAGAGAAGCACTTATTCATATAAATAGATATGTCTTAATATAATAATCATTTGTGGTTTAATGTTCTGATTATAAAAGAATATCAATGTACATATAATGACTATATTTCTATCTTGTTTTATTTAAAGAAATCCTGTTAATATTCAGAATATCTCAGAGTGATGACAGGAAGAATCTTCTGTTTACGTCTTACAACTGTCTATCTATCACATGATTTACATGTTTGAAACATCAATTCAACAGAAGATATTAAGGTAAACTGTTCCTAGGGGACCAACCTGTAGAACTAACAAGCTAAATGTTAATAACATATAATATTTGAAATGATAAAAAAAAAATTTTTAAAGGAAAATGGTCTCTTGAATAGCTGTTAATGCAACCTTTCGTAACTATTAATCTTACCACTTGATCGAGATTAAGTTTCAATCGCCGTTGCGTTACAGTTTTTTGAATACGTTTGCTGTAAGAAGCGTTGCCAGCTGGCCGAGTGCATCGTTCACCCTCATCTACAAGGCAACAAATTTGATCAGCAGCTCCTCTGGAATCTTCTTCACCGGTACTGAATCCATTCATTTTTTTTATTCTTAATAAAAAACTAAATCGGTATGAAGAGTATGTAGAACTTTAACAACCTCGAAATGTCACGACGTGTATGTTTGCGTCAAAAAACGGCGTGTCCCAGAGTAAAATACACTCGGCGACGTCTGCTTTTCACACTCATAATTTCCTGTCGGATTTCATTTGTTACACACAATTTTTCAACGAAACTCGTTTCTCTGTTCACGACGAAAAGTGACTTTTGACGCGCGATATCTGGTCTGTTGTTTGATGCAAAGATTCAACCTTAGAAATCGATAATTTAAATAGTAGAGTTTGCGTATTACGAACACCTCGATGTTAACCGATGTCGTCTAACGTTTCACTTTCTTTCCTTTCAAAGAATTAACATGTGAGTTATTTTTCCGTATTTACTGCGAAAAATATTCTCTGCGACTCTAGTCAACACGCGAGACATTTAACTTTAGTATTTTCTCGCAACGTGTTTTTGTTTTTACAGATTTCTGCGAAGTTCCGTAGTACGACACTTCACCAACTTCACCGCGTTTTGTTATTTACCCAACTACTGACAAATACATTGATTGACACGACTGTGTGAATGTGCATATGTATATATGTATATACGTATTATATATATATATGATATGTGTATACAGTGTATACGACATGGTTTACTTTGAGCATTCCTATCCAGTAAGATTCAATACTGCCAACGTTAGACATTATCATCGACAGACGATAAAATAGTTTTATGCCAAGTATGTATGTATAGTTTAAACGACTTATCGAATTTTTTATTAAAGCGACAAATGTTTTGATAGTTTCTATTAACTGTTTTGTATTTTTTTTATATTTGTACATATATAATTTTTTCTGGAGAAATTACTTATAATTTATAATAAACATTGTTTAATGATAGTATGCATATTGACACTGCTCTCATGTAATGAAAATTATAAAAGAAACTCATAAATAGAACAACTAAACATTTATACTATAATTTTAAGAGTTTATAGAATTATAAATTCTAGTTTTTTCGGACTCATACGTTGTGTATTTACTATATAACTAAGGAGGACAATGTGTTGTGTAGTGTATATGTATATCTACTGCTCTTATGAGAATTGTAAATTTAATTATTTAAAACATGTAGTGTTTCGGAAATATATATCGCAAACAAAGAGTTGTGTATAATTCGAAATAATGAGATTAACATACTACAATAAAAAGCCAGTTATGTTAAAATCTGTATTATATGTACACTATATATAATTTTTAATTATTTTACGTAATGGAATTTTAGATGCGACGTAAATTATATTTTATAGACGGTAATGTTGTTCTAACCAATAAAACAAATAAATAATTGATGGAATTTACAGATAAGTTCATAATACTATAAAACTTATATACATATAGTTTTACTTTGTTTAAATTTAAAAGAAATTACTTTTCCATTAGATTACAACAAATCAGCCGAGACATAATTTGTGAAAGTAACTTATAGTAGGGTGTTTCAAAATATACAATTTAATAAGAGGACAATACTAATTGTATTAACATTTTGAAAATCTTATTTTCTACAATTGTAAATGTTTATTTGACTAAGTGACAGGAAATATTTTAAGTACTGCTTGCATCACGTTGGTGGTACTGTAATTTGCGCCTTATATTAGCTGCGGAATGTAGTGCCATCTACGTTAATAATAAACCCTAACCTTAATAATTTAAATCATTTATCTGTCACGAAGTACTATTACCCAAGTTGAAAATAGTAATTGTATTTTATAGTAAAAAATATATTTATTTAGTTGCTTGAAATAAAGATTGTTAGGACCAATATCAATGATACACCGTAAATAATTTTCCATGCACGATTTTTCCCGCCCTTTCCACCAGCAGACATTTTATTGGGGGGGTAAAAAGAAACGCTTCAAAACATAAAAGGTTGATGCTGATTGGCTTACTTTTTGCGGCTTATCTGAAATAAGCCAATGGTAATACAGATTTTCCCCATACACACTTTCATATGCCGCACAAGTGGCGTGGGGTCGCGATATTCGAAGCTGAGAATCCTTTTAGCTGTAGAGGACCGTCCAGGTAAGAAAAATCGAAATATTTTTCTTTCCAAGCGTTGACAGATTTCAGCGACTAACAGTCGATTACTAGGCTATCACTGCCGTATGATACGCGTAATATGGGCAAACATTCGGTGAAGTGCTACTGTGCTGCGTACCGTGCATATACCTTTTATTTCTACACAACCGTCATAGCAAATGGCTGCCCGGAGATGTGTTTAGCAAGAAGGTTCTCCTGTACCGTGTGTCGTTATGTGCTGATACAGGAAAAAAAAGTCTCATGACAGTTTCAACTATCGTGAAAACATAGATTTTCTTAATTTGTAACGTAAAATGTCGGCGTGGCTTCTGTTACGTGTGTTTCGTCATAAATCAGCCGTCAAGGCTATAGCCCGCGTACGATCGGTCTCTGTTTGGCTACTTGCGCCATGCATTGGCATATATGGGATCTTGCACTATAGTACCCGTCATGGTTTTATAACGAATAATTTGCCACTTGATGCGTAGGTTACGGCAGCGAGCGTCGCGCAGTTGGAAAACTCGTGAAAAATGAGAGGGACTTTTAGTCATCAGTTTGTTATCTATGGCGTAATTTACAACATATTGTGATGCTTTTGATTTCCCGCTCACGTCCAATTCTTAGGACGTTGAAAGTTATATGCACGTAATCGACAATGGCATGTTTACGGTTCAATTCATTGGAATTTTTAACATGGTTAACCACCTAGTGTAACCTGCAGCATTGTAGTTCATATTATATTGAAGTAATCGAGTTTGTGGGTGATAGAAAGGGGAAAATAGAAGAGTGTCATGCACAGTATGTTTACACGTAAGCGTCTGTTTTTGCTGTGTGCGCCATATCGTCGAAATACACTGTGTGTAAGGCGCCAAAACAACACTGCCTTTTTTGCTTCAATTTTTATTCTATTTATACGCTCAAGATGTAACTGTACCGTTGGTCTCTGAAATTTCTCGCCGTTTCTGTTCTTTTATATTTTTCATATAAATACGATATGTGTGATTATGTGGGTAGTATGTGAAGATGATTATACATAAAATGGTGGGAATATAATCAATGGATGGTAGACATGTTTGCAATACGCAAACGTCACCGTACTTGTTGTATGTGCGTAATATGAGGTTATATGTAGTCCGGTGAACGTGTATACGTGATTTTATACTTCTTTTGCTCATATTCATAACATGTTATCGCAGCCGCGATTTTTTCCTCGAAAATGTGTGTAACGTATTTGGATGGTATTGTCATTATTTAATGGTCATGCAATTTCTAAAATGAAAATATTGCTTGGCTCTCAATTTCAATACCCGATATTACGTTTATAATTATTAAATAAATACTGCGGGTGTACATGCACATTTCAATTTTTATATATTTATTTTAGAAAATTTGAAATAACCAAAAATTAATTACTTCATTGCGCATTAAAATCTATACTTTATTGCATCTTGAATATTCAAGTATACTATAGGCACATAAAATCCACAGTCTAATACATATGGAACAGAAATAATGTTTCCAATCGTAACTAAAATATTTTTAGAGGTTATGAACCTTATCGAAACACGCCATACCACATTTGTAATTCTCTTTTTTTATTATCCAAAAAACTTTTTTCACTTGTAGAATTAGATTCTTCAACATTATGAAACGTCTAACATGTGTCTAACATCTAGTTTTAAGATGCTTAATATGAAGTACATTGATAGTTCTATGTCGAATGTACATATTCCATTTCGATTCGAGACCAATGGATCACAGATAAGATTCCTTTATTTACAACCTGCGACAGGCCGGTAAACAAAGTACTTCGACACTTATTGATTTAAAAGTTACCCAACTTGTTTTATAATTTTAATTTGATTCTTTTTTTATGGAGATTAAATACTTATTTAATAGCGTAGTATTAGTTGAGTGCAGCAGCTTTTATGGGTTTTGCTATAAAAGAGTAGATGAATATAATAGTTTAAATTCTTGTATAAAATAAGTACTTTCAGTACAGTTTTTTATCGTAACAAAGAAATTTTATAAATATTATTATTTTGAATTTATATATTTAAATTGTATTAATAAGTTTACAGAGTTTATTACAGATTGGGTTTAATACAACAGCTCTTCCAAACAGATCACTGTAAGGTTAATCCTCTATAAATAAGTGGAACCTATAAAAGCTGATTTTCATTTCCGATTCTATTTTGAAACAGTAAAACACACTCCATCGCGTAAATTTGTGTTCTATACGGTAATTTACTGTGTTACATTAACATTAATGTATAATATTACAATGTATATAAATACAAAATTATTATACAATGTATTATGTACAGAAGTGTTTATTGTTTGCACGAGGCTATAGCAACTGCATCGTCTGCGAAAAATCCAACAAAACTTTTGCACTAACCCAATAGAACTTAAACAAATATAAAAAAGATTGTAAAATACAGTTTAATTTGAAAAAAATTAAAATTTATGAGAAATTGGGGAAATTAAGATACATCTGTTTATGCTTAATGTGAATATTAAACTTTCCTTGTAATTTGCATCGAAAGGTCTTTTATTAATCATTTCAAATTGATAATGAAGTACACGTAAAAACCGATAAATTTAGGTGGATGATGAAATTCAGTGAATACTACATCGCACGCAATATTATGAAATCGAGAATAAACGAGAATTTCGTGTATATCAGAAGGAGAATCGTATTAGACGGAGGTACCACGGAAAATATAATATTACCGGCATCCATATGAACACAGTTTTGTATTATGTGGATGCATTTAATACTGAGTCCGCGTTAAGAGCCACCAGCGGATCAATGCTAGAACAATGTAAAAATTAATTGTAGAAAGATTATACTCAGCATTACTAGCCTGAATGGGACTCTTGTATTTATCTGACTGCAAATAATGCAACAAATTAACTTTTTCTTATATTATTTGTTTACTGTTCCGGTGAAATCGTTGCTGATGACGAATAAAGTACTATAAATCAACATTTTAATAAGCAAAAAATGTTCTTTGAACTTTTCATATTTTTGATATTAAATCGTATTAAATAACAGGTAATTAATAAATACATTAATTAACATATTATGAATTACTTAA